GCTTTCTGTTTTCCCATTAGCCATTTCTACGATGAATGTTTCTTTTAGTGGTCGAGGGGTTTGTTTGAGTAAGTATTTAAAGTTATGATTTACAAAGCTTCTTTCTGCACCACTATCAAATAAGACACAGGCATAGGAGTTGTTGAGAAGAAACGTACCCGTGACTACCGTGGGATCTGCTACCGCTTCATTGTGACCGATAGCGAGTAGCCTTCCAGTTCCTCCAGCATTTGTGGTCTTTGGACAATTTCTCTTAAAATGACCCGCCTCTCCACAGCCATAACAAGTTGGGGTCACTCCCGTACCAGGAACCTGCATGATAGGTTTGGGAGGGGCCTTACAAAATCGGACAGTATGGCCCTTTTGACCGCAGTTGGAACACTGCAGTTCACGGCAGGGGCCGTTGTGGTGGAAAGGGCACTTGGGACACTTGGGCAAGTTTCCACTGTAAGCTTTCGGTGGGGCTGGAGCAGCTGGAGTAGTCGGGGTGGTGGCAGCATGGATCGCCACAATTTGTTGATCCTTTGAGGAGGTTTGAGTTTTCTTGCCCTTCTTCTTATCCCATCGCTTCCTCTTTCTGTCAGATGAAGCGGGTGGTGCAGTGGTTTTTGTGGTTACTGTTGCTGGAGTGGAGGAGATTTCGTGGTTGATCAGACTCTGGGCCAATTCCTTGGCGCTGTCAAAAGTTGTAGGGCGTGAAGCTAGAACATTTCCTCGATACGGAGGCACTAAACCCCAGATGTACCGTTCAATCTTCTTGCTTTCCGAGGGGATCATATTGGGGCACATAGCCGCCAAGTCGCAAAACCTAGCCGTATAAGCCGTTATGTCAGTCCCCTTCATCTTGAGATTCCAGTGTTCTTCCTCAAGTTTCTGAACTTCGCCCCTAGGGCAGTACTCTCCTCTCATGAGGTCTTTCAGGGTGTCCCAGCCCATAGCATTGGCTGTGACCAAGGAAAGTGAACTAACATGGCCGTTCCACCATGTCAAGGCCCTGTTAGTGAGGGTAGCAGTAGCGAACTTGATTTTGCTCTCCTCGGGAGAAGAGCACATCTCAAACACCGCTTCGGTTCTTTCGAACCATTGGGATAATGCCAGGATTCCTCCGGTACCATCGAAGAAGGTAGGTTTACAGTTCATGAAATCCTTATAAGTACATCCCTGCACCCTATGATGGACTTCACCAAACCTGGAGTTACCACCGCTCGCATCCCCAGAATTCATTTGGGCCATGGCTGCTGTCACGGCCGCGGTCACCGCTGTTTGGAATAGCACCGGATCGATCTGCGGGGGAGGAGGTGGTGGAGTAGGGGTTTGAGTTGCGGGCCTTCCTCTGGTGGGACGCTTTCGTGGAGGCATCCTTTACTGGAAGAATTATAGAAATGATAGCAATAGTATGAGCCTATTGCGAATATAAATAGAACGTTTCGTGGATTAAATCAACATAATCCAATATCAGGATGAGAGTTATAGCAATAGAGAAATCAACTGCCAATACATTGGTATTAATGATGCAACACAATTTCATGAAAATTTGACCTAGCAATAGGTCTTACATCATACCATAGAGAAAATGTTGGCAGTTTAGAGGTTTAACTAGAGTACTTTCAAGCTAGGAGTGTTTACAGATAATAGATCTACGGAACATAGAGTGAAAAGGTTAATCCATTAAACAAAAGATTGAGGTAACTAGACGTCCCTCTACTGGCGACGGTTACTTGTCGGGCGAATCCTCAGATCTGCTAGCTGATGCATAACTTCTTGAAGGTGTCGATCATGAGTCCTTTGGCGTGCACGGAGTTCTCCAACTTCGGCTCGGGATGCATCCAGCTGGTGCTGCAGAGCCTCATTGGT